GGGGTCTTGCCAATACCAGTTTTAAAAAAAACTAAACAAACACCCAAAACCTCAAAAAACAACATCTGTCCCCCAAAACCCAAGCAAACAAAGCACAATTACTGCAGTGGTGTGACCCTAGCCAGACTATCTAAGGAGAGGTGACATAAACCACTGAAGTTTCCAGGGAAATTGCAAAGATTTTTAGGGCTTTGAATTGTATTAATTAGTGTTTTGGGGGGGATTTGGGGGTTAATTTTTTTGTTCTTTTTTTTTTTTTTTTAGGAGTGGATTAAATCAGAGTATTATAAGCATGCTGCTAGAACCCTAAGGAATATATAGGGGTTGAAGTGAGTAAATGGAAACAGATTATTTTAGTTTGCTTTTGTTCTCTGTCTGTTGTACCCCCCACTAAGGAATACCCCTGCAAACATTTTACTTGCTCAGCCAGTTTACTTGATTCTTTCTCTCTTAGTCTTTACTCAGAAATATGACACAAAAACAATTTTACAAATTTGTGTTTGTGTCATTTCAATATTATGTTCTTCACCACTGTAACTTCACTCTGAAAACTTGTCAAAGGTAGAAGGGACTATATGAGTGTCAGTGTTTGCTTTTAGTTCTCGTACATGTGCAAAAAGCCAGACAGAAAGTGGCAGTATAAATCACACAGTGATCCAAAAATTGAGTTTTTGCTAACAGAGAATTTGCATGTGTGCAGCAGTGAGTAAACAGCAGCTTCCTGTGCTCAGGCACAGTGAAAAACCAGTAGCATAACAGGAGGAAATACTGCAGGGCTCGAAATGCTGAGATAAAAATCATCTCCCTTCTGTTTCATTGTTACAAAGATTTTTTTTTTTTCCAAATTGTTATTTTTAGAAAAAGTCTTGATTTAAAGCTTAGTTCTGTTGAAGCCAATAAATAATTACTGTTGCCTCTGTATTGCATAGTGGTGTGGAACAGGATGCAAGGTCTGTGCTTAGCAGCAGAGCTTTCTCTGCTTCCAGATAGCATTTTGATATCAGGGAAAAATTTAAAGTTCTCAGGGTTTTGAGTTGGTGTTTTGTGGGGGTTTTTTTTGAGGGCTTAGTTGGTTGTTTTTTTAAGGCATGCAGCATGGGCACATCTTCAGTAGGCATCACATGCTGAGAAAGATATAAACAGTCTAGAAAGGCTGACAGAAAAATTTACTCGTAATTTGGGCCAAAGACAAATGGAAATTAATACTTACATTATTAGCAACTTTTAAAGATCCATCTTTCCTAAGGCATGACATAATTTTTGAGAAATCCAATCTTGTTAAAGGAAAAAAAAAACTTTGCAAGTATTTGAAGAGTTATCTTATAAAAATAAGTGAATATATATGTAAGTGCAAAGAGATCAACAAATAAAAAATCTTCAAACTATGATTATTCCTACAGATCTGATAGCTTAGCCTGCTTCATCTTTCCACCTCACTGGCTCCCACTGACTTCTAGAACACAGTGTTAAATTCAGCATTCAGGTAATGCGGAGAGCTGAAATGTCAACAAACAAATAGATGAGAGATCCTCTAAGTAATTGCTGAAGACCTTTTGAAGGATGAAGAGTATTGTGACAAGAGTTAAGTTGTGAAAGAAGTGTGAGGGTAGGAGGAGATACCAAACTTTAAGTCCTTGGGGGTGTGGGAAGAAAGTGCAGTATCTTCAGCACAGATAGGTCTACTTTTCTGGAAAACACAGTGGAGAAGAAAAGACAGTGTGACAGAAGAAAAGGGGGGAGGAAAAGTTAATCCTATCATCCTGTCTGGAAGGATGGAAAAATAGGGTGGGAGAAACAAAACCCCAGGGCTCCCAGTGCTGTGTTGTTGTTATTTATAGCATCTATTTTTAGGCACTGAAACAGAGCAGTGGCAGGCTTTATACAAATCTGCACAGAATTACTTGGATCGGGAATCTAGCAAAGGCAGTAGCCATGTTCTGCCAGTGTTCCAAGGGCAAGGACTTTGTACTTGGCCTGGAATTCATGTAAAACTTGTGCGCCGGTTCCAGTTTGCTGGCAGTTGCTGGCAGGGATCCCAGGCGGTTTCTGTGCTGAAGACTGGGGGAAGGGAGAGCAAGAGGAAAAGGAGCAAGTCCCAGCCTGCTTCCTCCCACACGTGTCTTAGAGGATCAGGACTGCTCAGCACACCAGAGAGCAGGAGGGATTTCGGAGCAAGAAGTAAAATTGAGAAGAGGGTTTGTTTTCCACGTTGTTAAAAGGGGTTGGCCTTGAGCATTTATTGTGGCGTACTGGCTCACAGAGGGAATTACTATCTGATATTTTCTTGGATTTCTGTAAGTATCTCTGCTGATTTCTAGAGGCTGATGTTAGATTTACGTATTAAGTCATCTTTTCATTTAACAGCTAAGGAAACTGGACAAGCCCTAGGGCCCAGTACTGGGTTCATCATGCTCCTCGCAATCTCAGTGAGATCTCTGCTTTCAGAAGGAATCAGCCCCTAACAGAAAAAGGTGAATATGTATCTTTAAGTGGTCGTGGGTTTGGTGGTGTTTTTTGGGTTGTTTTTTTTTTTTTAAAACAAGATTGATATTTCTTCTCATCCTTGGGCAAGGTTAGTGTTCCTAAAATGGCATGGATTAATCAGGAAGCACTAATTCTAATCATGCTACCGCCAGTGGTGTCAAGACCCAAATATCATTTAATGCCACCACTGCACCTCCCTGGTTCAAAATTCACAGCTGTCCTGCAAGGCTGCACAAAGTCTCTGTTCAATAACAATGTGCCTGCCATCACCAGCTGATGGCGCTTCGTGAACTTGCAGGGAAAAAGTGGAAAGCAGCAGTGCTGTTGTACCAGCCTGGAAAGCTTAGCAATGCCCATGGGAAATCGAGGGCTTTCTTAAATGCCCGGATCTGTCTGGTTCCTTTGCCCCACTGCAGCTCACATGGGCTGTGACGATTCTCAGTGACTCAGCGTAGGCTCAGCACACTCTGATTGAAATAGTTTTGGGTCAGTCACATACCCCAGGCTCTTTAAACACAACGCTGCCTGTCAGTTGCTGGTAAGGCAGAGCTCAGCCTCCATTGTTACAGCACCATAAAGATGTTCCCATTACAGACAAGGACCAGTTCTTCCTTCTGCTGGTTAATGCCTTCGTGCACTTGCCTGGTCGTCACCTATGTCCTGTGGGGCCGCAGTTCATCAGGACTTCAGGGAAACTGCTGCTAGGCTGTGATTCTGAGGCTCCACTGCCATACAAACAAAAGATTTGAGCTCCTAGTAGTCTGTCCTTTGCTTCATATTAACACAGCCTGTTTGTCAAGGCATGATATTAGGTTTGGCATCCGCATTCTTAGCGAGGTCCTGCTTCAATCAGCCAATGCATTGGGTCAGAGGGATCTTGCATCTTCCCGTTAATCTCTTACTCAGCCTGTGGGCAGGGAGGATGAGCTCTCAGTCCTGTCTTTCAGGATCTTACCAATAAAGAGGGGGAAACATCATCAACCCTATGGAAAAATTCCTCATCTCATTGAGATCAAGATTTTTTTTTTTTTCTCATATTGTCTCAGCTGTAACCAAACAAGCACATAGATGTTACTTGGAAAAGTCATCCATGGACCCCAGGCTCTCTGCTTCTTATGCTATTTTCCTGGTCAGAATAATAGCATCTGCTTTTTTTTTTTTTTTTTTGATACTATGGCTCACTCATTGAAATACACAGGGCAGTATTACTCTGCTCTGGCCAGTTTAGTGTTCCTGGGTCATTCAAGGTAACTGTAGCACTCTCTTGCACCAAAGAGGCAGAAAAAAGTTCTCTCAGAAAATGTTATTTTTTTCCCACTGGAGAACATGCTGATTTTGGGGGAAAAAAAACCCACATGTGTCTTTCATTAGTCAAGGTGGAAGTTTCAAGTTCTCTATGTTTAGAAGTGACTTTATATTAACAAACATGCTTCTAGTTGTTGTAGAATATAAATATTATTGGCTTCAATCTGTTCTTTAATAGAGCTGGTAAGTCTTTGCTCTTGTGATGGTTTGAAATGGAATGAAGTGTGGAAAAGTAGGGATTTTGCATAGATGAGATATTTCTGATTTTTATCTCTTTTCATCATGAAAGAACAATTGTCATACCTAATTTACTTCAGTGTACAGCATGAAGATGAGCATATGCCAGTCCCCGTGGAGCTGGCTTATCGTGTATTTCTGCATGACTGTGTGTGTTATTCCAGTGCAACATTTTCTAAAGATCCCTTTGCCTGTGGCTGTTCACAAGGAAAAGGAGTGAATTTCTTCATCCAAAGCTGTGCTGTTTCAGCAAGCATAGGAAATTGCTTCCACTCATAAAACTTGCCTCGACAGGCAGAAATAAATATTTAGAAACGGAAAGGTTATTTCTAGGTTTTTAAAGTCCAGGTTGAGTTTGTAGAGTTGGCAGTTAGAAACACTGGTTTGTTAAACCAAATGAGTTGTTCTTTAAGTAAATAATCATAATTTATGTTTCTGGGCAGTTTTTACTAACACTCAGATAGAAACACCTCCTTGAATGTACTAGATGGCATCCAAAACGAAGAAAGTTACAGTCCCTTCCCTAAGAATTACACTGCAAGTATTACCTTTCTTTCCGTGAACACCAACAGTGCTGTGGGTGTGCTGGGTAACTGGCACCTTTAACACTTGTGTAGAGCCATGGGCACGTAGCTGCCTTGCCACACACTCACAGGTCCCTCCGAAGTTATTGGCAGCTGGGAACGGTCCAGGTCTTGCGAAACTGCGTGCTGTGCTTATGGGACGTTTCCTGACCTGAGCAGTGCCCTTCCTGCCCCATAGTGTCCCTTCCACAGGGCTCTGCAGCACGCGATCAGGAACATAGGGCCTGCGTACTTCAGTCCACCTCTGTGGTAGCCAGCCACCCACTGTGGCAACATGACTGCGGTCACGCGGGGCTGTTCGTGACCAATCTCACACACCGCATCACCACAGCTACTGGGCTCTGACTTTAATTTTTTTTTTTTTTCCCACCAGGATTTATGTAACCAACTATGTACCTGTTTCATACATGGGGAAGCCACGAAGTTTACCAGGGCAAACAACGGTAAGAAAAGACATTCACTGTAGGTTTTTACTATGTTGTGCTAAAAACTCACACAACCTGTCTTTTTTTTTTTTTTCCTTTGAAATTCATTGAGAGTCTGAGAGCCATTAATACATATTTAAAACTATTGGTCTTTCAAGGCCTTTCATCCTTCTTTTATAGAACATGGAGGTTTAGTGGTATATACAATATATGGTATGGTACATTTACTACCCGTTTGTCACTATCTATTAATGAACTAGCAGTTAGATATGTTCCATCATATGTATTTTACTTCAGGTGAGCATCCGTAAGATGCATCTTGCAAACACCTTGAGCAATGATGACATGCTGAGATATTCTTAGGGCCTTCTAGGAGGATGACCAAGGTGAAGCCCGTTGCTGCAACCACGAAGAAGCACTTTCCAGCTGCTGTGTGTAGCACTGGGTGCATAATCACGGCATTGCCATCGTAACCAGCCTGCCTCCACACCAACCACTTCCATGCTCTTGTCCCACTCGTTCCAGGAGCTGTAACAGGAGTGCCCTACACCCCTGTACAAAGGGTGCCTCAGGAGACTTAAAGCATCCAACCACCCATTCTACTGGAGACATCTGCTGACATCAGTGCAAATCTCAATGGAGAAATGCACATCTAAAATTCTTGTGCGAATAAAAAACCCAAAAACTGACTGGCTTTAGAAAACTCAAGAACTTCTGTAAATATTCAGGAGCTCCATCTGCTGGCAGTATGTGGTGGCTGTTTGCATCTGTACCTGTTGCTCATACAACTTCAAGAATAATAGTTTAAAATCTACTGTAAAGCTTACAAATATTCTTTTAATATTACTTCTTTCAGTTTCAGGACCTGCATAAACATTTGGCTAATTTTATGCTTGTTTCCAAGAACCTGTGTATCAAATCCTTCAAAACCCAATTTTTTACTGATACTGGCTGATGATCTTGGTATTGGAGATGTGGGTTGCTATGGCAATGATACAATAAGGTAAGAATGTATTCTATGAACTAAATTAGTTCTTCCTGGTGAATTTCAGTGGAAAAAAACACTGATAGCACTCAGTATTACAAAATTCATTATTAATAGATTAGTTATTCTAGATACACTTCTTTTCAAACCAGGTATAAAACAAATGTTCTACAGTAATTCCTCCTGGAGTAATAATTATACTTCAGCAACTTTATGCTTGACCAACTTTCTTGAACTTCTAATTTTCAGCATATACAGTAAGAACTTTGTAAATATGTCCATGTGCAGTATTTGTCAGGCATGTCTATAATTTATAAATTTCCACAACTTCAGGGTTGAAATATCAAGAACTGAGATTAGGATTTAATATCAGCTAACAACTCTGGTAGGGTTGTTACAAAATGACAGCTCAGTCTAAGTGACATATTTATCCCTAGTGCAGTCATCAGGCTGTATATAGATTGATTGATAGAGTAATTGTACATGTAGCCTGTGTTTAACCTATTATATTATTGGATATTGTGTTGTCCTGTATCTTTAATGGAATCTTTTTGACTTTGCTGCATTTTGAAATGGAATAGACCTAAAAGACTTCTGGTTTTCTTTCCTCTTTCCTTTCTTTTTCTTTAATAAAAACACATTTATCCATGGAAAATTAATTTCTAAGGAGTCAAGGTATCTCAAAAAATACATAACATAGACTCTTCCTAGTTGAGTTGTCGATAAACAATTGTGTAGATTTGATGGTGATGTCCTTGACAAAGGTAGGAGAAGCAGGACACCACAAACGTGTGTAATACATTTTTATCAGAGATGGGATTTTTCTCTTTAGGACCCCTAACATTGATGGCTTGGCAAAAGATGGAGTGAGACTTACTCAGCACATTGCTGCAGCGGCTGTCTGTACTCCGAGCAGAGCAGCTTTTCTGACTGGCAGATACCCCATCAGATCAGGTTGGGCCTCTCCCTAATGGTCTCCCGCTGCAGTCTGTCTAGCCATTAGTGCTATTAAAAGTCCCCTTAAATAAACCATTTTAGAGACTAGTTAATCTAAGGATTTGGGGTCTCAGTGAGATTAGCAGAAATAAAGATGACTAGATTTAGTGATTGATTTCTATGGGAAAACTTCCACATAAAGCACATTTAATGTGGCTAAATGACAACACGGAAATGGATGAAAATCCAAACAGCACAAACACCCAGAGGCAGAAACACGAAGAAGAAAATTGTGTGAATGCTATATGTTCAGTGGTATTAAGATTATATTAAATGTAGTATTTCTAATATCCTGGTAAACTTTTTCATAGTGAAACGTGTCAGACTGTGGAATAGTTCTCAACAGTACTTTTTTTAAACAGATTCGCTTCTGCCATGTAAATTCATGACAAAATTTTAGCTACTGCATACAGCTGTAATAATCAGTGTTGCACCTCTGGTGTGATCCTGACTTGCTAAAGGAGAAATGTAATCATGAACTGTACGTTTCCTAAGGGTGTACCCTGACTCTGCAAGCCTTTTGTTCTATATCAAACTTCTTTTCTCCCACCCCCACTTTTCATTTTTTTAACATTCTATTTTAATAGAGCTTTTGTTGTAAGGAGGTTGCCTGATAGCCAGCCATAGGCATAAACACCCCAGCATAGGTGCAGCATTTGCATTGGGCCAGCAGATAATGACATGGGACCTGGAGGAGACATTGTTCAGGGGGTCAGTCAGAATATCCCAGCTTACAAAAAGGTAGTAGTCTTAGGAAACCGAGTCCTAGTCGTTAAGAGTAATATAAGAAGACTGAAAATCTGAATTTTTTAATTTTAAAGACCGTTATTCCTCTCTAGGCATGGCATCCAGCACTCAACGGCAGGTTCTCTTTTGGAATGGGTGTTCTGGTGGGCTCCCACCAAATGAAACAACCTTTGCCAAAATACTGCACCAGCAAGGTTATTCTACAGCACTTGTAGGTATGAGATACAGCAACTTTCAGTCTTTTCATTGCTTGTTATTCAAATAAAGCTGCTTCTGTAAATATTTTTCTTTGCCAAGATGTTTAGGATTAGTTAAACGAAAAATTTCTTGTATGCATGATTTTTTTTTAATCAGCAGGATTTTTAGAATGTTATCCACAAGCCCCAGTGTCAGCACAGCTTATCTGATAAATCCAAAACGAGGATGTATGGGATACATAGATGTACACTGCCAACAGAAGCAAATGCAAAGCAAAGAATCTTGTTTGCACAGTACAGTTTGCTTTAGGAAGAACCAACAGAGATATTCACTTGTGAGTTAGAACAGAAAAGTGCCTGCCAGCTGGTACCCAGACCTCGCAGCAGTCTTAATTACATTTGGTGGCTAAATTTTCTGTTACTTATGCATCCTTCTTAGTTTCACAATTAAGACTCCGAGAGTGCCTCATTTTCTGCAAAAGCAATTCTGCAAAAAAAGTTTAGAGTCCATTAACTTTTGTGGATTTTGGATCAGAATACATGTTCAAGAAAGAAAATCCTATCAACTCTTTACTAATTGTGGCTGAATAGTGATTAAACAATGTGTCTTTCAAGCACCTCTCACTTTTAAACTTGTTGACGTAGTCAAAGGTGTCATGTGCTTCATTGTAATTACTGTAATTTTCACACCTCTGCTCAGCTCCAGCACACAGAGGTGTCATTTAGTTCCTAAATTGAAGTGAGCCTTAGCAAAAGGTTGAACTCCCCTAGCTTACTGCAGTCTGGTATAGCTGATAGCATAAACTACATTCATACACGTGAGCACAGGGCTCGTTAGCAGTTCTCAGAAGTTATTTGTCTAGCTAATAGCCCCTAAGCCCGTGGTTATAGACTGTTTGTCCTTCAGTATCAGGATAATTACACTGCTTTGTAATATGACTTCATTAAGGTTCATTATCACTGTATGACACATTCTGATATGTCCAATTGTACTGGATAATTGGAACAGCCTATTTTTGATACTCATTTTAGGATGAATATAGATACACAGAGCCAATATGTACACCTTCTTCCTGAAATTTGTTCTTGGACCGTGAAGGTCAAGTAGAATTTATGGGAAAATTAGTTCATATTTTTGCACTTAGCTGTTTCTCTTGGCAAAAGGGTCTCCCTGGTTTCTCCCCATCAGGCTACCCATTGATGAAGGGCTACTTTATATGTGAAAAATAATAAGCACCAACTATTGCAACCTTATTTGTTCAGGGAAGTGTCTGAACTGGACCACTGCCCTACATGGAATTTTAATAGGTAGGTGAGGAAAACCAGCTGTTCTAGGTAGATAAAGCGCCAATGCACAATTGCTCCCTGAGAGTCTGCCCCATTCCGAACCAGCTCCTTCCTTGACTGCACCTTAACCAAGGAGTGCAGCCAACCTATTAGAAATACAGGCAGACCCACCCAAGAGTAACAATGTTGGATTTAAAATATTTGTTTTATATTTTCAGGGAAGTGGCATCTGGGGGTGAACTGCAAATCCCACCGTGATCACTGCCACCATCCTCTGAATCACGGCTTTGATTATTTTTACGGCATGCCTTTTACCCTTTTGAACGAATGTCAAGGCACAGATGACCCTGAGCTGGCCAAATCATTGCAAGATACATATTGGCTTTACACACAGATGATCATCCTTGCAGTGCTTACTCTTTTGATTGGAAAACTTACCAATTTGTTCCCATTAAAATGGAAAATAATAGTGTGTCTGGCCATCTGTGGTCTTCTGTATTTCATCTCCTGGTTCTCCAGCTATGGTTTCACCAAGTACTGGAACTGTATCCTGATGAGAAACCATGATATCACTGAACAACCAATGAATCTAGAAAAAATGACTCCTAATATGCTAAAGGAGGCGGTTTCATTCATTGAAAGGTAACCAACAAAAATTTTATTGCATTTTAAAGATTTTTTCTTTTTTTTTTTTAAATAATGTGATTACTGTGTCATACACCACCAGGTTAGGCACCTGACATGCTGAACTACCCATCCTGGCCAGTAATGTGGTGTTTTCTGGCATCTCCCTACCTGTCAGCATCCAACTGCTGTCCTTCATCTTATACATAGCTTGTCAGCTGCTCAGGAAAAGGAAGGTGATTTTGTGTGAACGTGTTTGTTTTGTTCACCTAATACAAAGGGGTCCTGGCCAAAGACTGGCCTCTCAGCCAGCAGGAACAGAAAAATTACCTTAGCCCAATGGATTGTCATCGAAAATGTCATGTGAAGTTAATATCCTACAAACCGGAGGGTGATAGTGAGTGGTTTTGTTCTTCAAGGGTGTCCTTCATTTACAGTGCTGGCAGTAGCCTCAACTGGCACTGAACAATCCACTCAGTCTTTGAAAGTATTCATGTGTCAAGTCTGGGCATACCCCTGAATAAGATTACACTATTTCTGTCAGGGCTTTTTAGGGGAAATTGGCAGTAAGATAAATCTCTTCTGTAAAATTTTGAGCATAGGTTCCTAGGATATTCAGCCTGGCCTGATGTTAAAGGGATATGGTTCCCCTGTGTGTGCAGTGTCATATCTGCCTCTTTCAGGTGCTCAGTGACATTCGTGTTAATTTTAAGCAAGTCCTATTCTCCTTGCCCTTCAGAGTGTGTCGGTATTTTGGCTGTGAACGTTCTTAGTTATTTATTTAATGTTCTCTACATGTTTAATTTGGAACCAGTAAAAGAAAGGGCCCATTACTATTTTTGGACTTAAAATTGAACCAAAATCTTGGAGGAGTGCTTTAATCCTCTCTGTCTCCCAAAACTTAAAAAAAGACGTTAAAATCAAAACTTTTTATTTGAAACCCCAATAATCATTTTATTGAGGTAGTCACTACTATGCCACTGTTATATTTTTGCAGAAAAATGACTATTGTTTTCTTTTATTTCAGAAGCAAGCACAGACCGTTTCTTCTCTTTGTTTCCCTTTTACATGTTCACACCCCTCTCGTTACCACAGAGGAGTTTCAGGGAAGAAGCACACATGGGCTATATGGAGATAACGTAGAGGAGATGGACTGGATGGTGGGTAAGTGATTGTATCGCAGAAAATCCTTAATTTATTTCAATGTGGAAAAGAAATTAAAGGGGTGGTCACAGAACTCCCTTTTTCCATATGGACTTGCCTTGCATACACAGTTAGCTCCACAGATTGCCAATCCATTACCACACCTATTTTCTTCTTTCTTAAAATGAAAGCCCAGACTTTTCTTGTGAGGATTTGTTCTTTTTATTTTTTTAATTGACACGCTTCTGCACTGCAATGTTAAATGCAGTCAAATAATCAAATACGTGCTTGCTCATGTTGTTACAAAATGTATCACATTTTTCCTGCTCTGTCTAATCTCAGAAGCTATAACTGGTGCTGATAATGAATCTTACATTATACAGTGGTTGTTTTGTTTACTTGTTCATTTTTACTGAAGAATAATCCTTGGAGCAGAAACGAGAACTCCCTCCTAGCTAAAAGGTCAAGTTAAAAAGCTATGAAGTTTTACTTCATAATTTGTGTGAAGTCAGTATATCGTGAAGACTCACTTAGTCTTACTTAGTAGTTCCTTTCTGCTTCAGTGGGATGGAGGGAAATAGCTTCTGTTTGTATTTAGTGAAAACCCTGTTGGCGAAGTATTCACCTACTGTCCAGGCTAAGGTTCCATCCCTGAACCTTTTCTTCCTCCAATAACCATGTTTACAACATCGTATTTTGAGAGGAGCCCCCTTGCTTCTGATGGGCAGGCTGAGGGCCTCCACGAGATCCAGTTGAACCAGAGGATTCTGCCATGCTCCTCTTGCAACTTTTTGGCACCAGTCACCTTCAGGCACAAGCTGTGCCAGCAGAGCTGGAGAGCAGAAGTCTGGTGGTGTAAAGAGCACGCCTTGTATCGGTCAAATAGGATGGCAGCTAGTGAGGACAGAAGTCTCCAGGGTTGGACAGCTAAGGAAGAGATTTAGGGTCTAATTCAGAACCAAGATGCCTAGACACAACCTAAATTCTTTCTTTTTGAGGCAAGAGTCTAATTTTAGGTAAGGTCAGTAAGTGGATTGACCAAGCAGACAGGAAATCTGTAAAGGAGAAGAGAGAGAGCATAAGAGCTGGTCACTGGCTTGTGTTTTTTCCTTGCATACTTCAGCTTTTGCTGCTGCTTCTGTAGCTGCAGAAGCTGTTCTTGATGAATATATTTGATGCAGTAGGTGATGAGGGCAAGCAATCAGCGATAAATGATGTTCTGTATAAACACTTGGTGCTATCAGTGCCAAAAACATTCCTTATGAAGTTAGGTTTGCATTGCACTCTGTGGAGTTTTCCCACTGACATCAGGACAATATTTGGGTTGACAGTATGCAGCCTGATCTCTGAGTCCCTGTTCAGTTCCTGGTGAGATCTACGCAGAACTATTATTTAAGCTTTTCAAGATGCTTGAGGCTACCCAATGGAAACAGACATTGACTCAGAGAATTTACAGCATAAAACTGACAGAGTATTCTGCGTAACTTGAATGAAAGGATCATTCATCTAAATTATTTTCCAGTTGGTTTTATCTTCCCTGTTCTTACAGACAACACAAATTTTGGACACATTCAGCAGGTTTCTCTTGGGCTCTTATTATTTCTGAGATGCAGGATTACTCTTTGCATTACTTGTGGTAGCTCATGACAGAACTCTTTCAGGTAAAAGGAAAGATTCTGTTTTCAGTAACTATTTAGTCAAAGCCTAAAAAGTCTGCATGGATCTCCAGACACAGTGATGATATTTTGCTTTGTTTGTAGGCAGGCTTCTGGATGTTATTGACAAAGAAGGTTTGAAGAATACCACATTCATTTATTTTGCATCTGATCATGGAGGATCCTTAGAGGCTCACAGGCGAAATGCTCATTTGGGTGGATGGAATGGGATCTATAAAGGTAAAATGTTGTTAGAGTGTATGTGCATAAGACTTCCTCTTAAAAAGAAAATTATGGAATAAAATGCAGCCAGATAGCTTAGTAAATACAGTCTATATGCTGGGATGATAATCTTGGGTTGTAGGACTGAAGCACATCAGCTGTTTACCTTTCAGCCCTCAGACAGGATCACTTTCACCAAAGCTACTCCGGACAGCTATATTGCCTAATCTATGCTTAAAGACCTTCGCTGATTCCCCAGATAATCCAGTTTTCATTGTCTATGCTACTAGAGGTTTTTTTCCTGGTACCTACCTTGGATTTCCTTGCTGAAGTTTAAGCAACAGATCTTGCCCTGTTCACCAACCTACAGAGAAGAGATTCTTCCTTTTCTCCTTTGAACAGCCTGTTCTTGCAAGGTCATCATGTATTTCAGTGCTGTTATGTTCCCCTTCGGTCATTCTTTCTTTAGACTCCAGTACACTTGTACCCCCTTCTAGTTCCACGTTGTCTTTAAATATTTTTAAGCATACTATCTAATCCATAACCCTGACCACTACTTGAAAATGTTGTAGTGCCATAGAATATCTCAAGTGGGAAGAGACCCATAAGAATCATGCAGTCCAACTCCCTGCTCCTCACAGGGCAACCTAAAGCTAAACCCTGTGAGTAAGAGTGTCACCACATGCTCCTTGACCTCTGACAGGCGTGGTGCCATGACCGCTTCCCTGGGGAGCCTGTTCCAGTGACCGACCACCCTCTCAGTGAAGAGCCTTTTCCTCACGTCCAACCTGAACTTCCCCAGACACGCACCCATAACACACTGTTTGGAGTCTCACTTGAAACATCCTTCTGTGTTTCACTGCAGACAACTGTCTGTGTCAACACTGGCAGATACCACGATGACTATTTTCTCGATATAGTCTTCTAGTTTCGCATCATATCAATGTTTCATCTAGATGCTGTCCCTAAGACTGGCTTGCAACACAGCATCAAAAGCACCACGGAAATGAAGATCTATGGTCTCTCTTGCATGTGCTTCCTCCAGAGTGCTAAGCCTTGAAAATCCACTGTAACAGCTTGGGCAGCTTGGCACTTATTGTATGGTGAAGCTAAAAACCTGCCACTGTCACTT